ATTGCAACATAAGAGGGATTTAGTGACTTCCATTTACAGTCTATGAATATGTAAACCACTTTGCTGTATTTAATTACAGTCATTCTTAAAACTATTACTACTGTTCTCAAGTATTTGGTCCTTGTTTCAACATCACATCTACTGTATACAACATACACTCAATAGCCTCTTCAATTTCACAAGAGGTAGTGGTTTATTGACCTTACAAATACGATTAGCCTTCTTTCTGACCGTACTATAATAGTCTACAATATTCTTATTGGACATTCCGCTATAATCATAGTCACAAATGGCTTGTATTTGGCCTACCTTTTCTTTACAACTATATTTTCTAAATTTAGCTTTTCGTTCATACCTACTTCGGCCGTCATTGAACATCACTTCCACGAAATACCAAATGTTACGTTCCAGTTCCATACATATTCTCAAACTTATTCAGACGATTGCCAAGTCAAATACCAAATGTTAAGTTCCAATTCAAATTACATACATTCAGGCCTCATCTGGCCTTGTTTCTTCAATTACAAGATGGTATGTTCATTTCCAATAAGTCCCTTTTAATACCTTATAGGTCATGGCACCTCGACTTATCTTACATGTAAATTCCATATATGTACATCAGGCCCTCATTTGTTTTTTTTTAAATCAACATAGGTCCAGGTTACCTCTGTCTGGTATTATTAAGCCCACAGTTAGGCCATAAACTACTACAACAAGGTATCAACCCTCATGCAGGGCATTGCATACACCCTATGTGACAAGTATTCAATAAGACACAGGTACTACTAGAACATAATTAAGTTTAGCCAACTCACAACCAGTCACTATAGTATCACAATTCACCTGCAATAACTGTATATATGTTTGTTATTTACATAGTTACATAGTTACATAGCTGAAAAGAGACTTGCGTCCATCAAGTTCAGCCTACCTCACATTTGTTTTTTGCTGTTGATCCAAAAGAAGGCAAAAAAACCCAGTTTGAAGCACAATTTTGCAACAAGCTAGGAAAAAAATTCCTTCTTGACCCCAGAATGGCAGTCAGATTTATCCTTGGATCAAGCAGTTATTACCCTACATTGAAAGATTATATCCTTGAATATTCTGTTCTTGCAAGTATGCATCTAGTAGCCGTTTGAACATCTGTATGGACTCTGATAAAACCACTTCCTCAGGCAGAGAATTCCACATCCTGATTGTTCTTACAGTAAAAAAACCTTTCCTTTGCCTTAGGCGAAATCTTCTTTCTTCCAGTCTAAACGCATGGCCTCGTGTCCTATGTAAAGTCCGGTTTGTGAATAGATTTCCACACAATGGTTTGTATTGGCCCGAATATATTTGTATAATGTTATCATATCCCCTCTCAGGCGACGTTTTTCTAAACTAAAGAGGTTTAAATTTGTTAACCTTTCTTCATAGCTGATATGTTCCATTCCTTTTATTAATTTTGTAGCCCGCCTCTGCACTTTTTCTAGTGCCATAATATCCTTCTTTAGAACAGGTGCCCAAAATTGCACAGCATATTCAATATGTGGTCTTACCAGTGATTTATAAAGAGGCAAAATGATATTCTCGTCCCGAGAATGAATGCCCTTTTTCATGCATGACAATACCTTACTGGCCTTGGCCACTGCTGATTGACATTGCACATTGTTGCATAGTTTGTTGTCTATAACAATTCCCAAGTCCTTTTCATGTGTTGTTATCCCTAATTCGCTTCCATTAAGGGTATACGTTGCTTGTGTATTCTTTACGCCGAAGTGCATAACTTTGCATTTTTCAACATTAAATTTCATCTGCCATTTGAGTGCCCAGTCCCCCAGTCTATCTAAATCCCTCTGCAGCAAAGTAATATCTTGCTCACATTGTATTGTTTTACAAAGTTTTGTGTCATCTGCAAACACTGAAACATGACTTTCAATGCGGTCTTCAAGATCATTTATAAACATGTTAAATAGAAGGGGTCCCAGAACAGACCCCTGAGGGACACCACTTGCCACCTCTGTCCAGCTTGAAATTTACCATTAATGACAACTCTTTGTACTCTGTTTTTAAGCCAATGTTCTACCCAAGAACAAGCATTTTCATCTAGACCGATTTCCTTGAGTTTGAACACTTATCTATTGTGTGGAACTGTATCAAATGCCTTGGCAAAATCCAAATAGATCACATCCACTGCAACACCCTGATCTATACTTCTACTTACTTCTTCGTAGAACGCAATCAAGTTAGTTTGACATGACCTGTGCTTCATAAAACCATGCTGATTTTTGCTGATAACCATGTTCTTCTCAAGGAATTCTTGAATATTATCCCTTAATAACCTTTCAAATATTTTACCAGCCACAGAAGTTAAGCTCACGGGTCTATAATTTCCAGGCAAGGATTTTGAACCCTTTTTGAATATAGGAACCACATCTGCCTTCCTCCAATCCTCCTGAACACTTCCTGAAAGAAAAGAATCTTGAAAGATTAAAAACAGAGGTTCACTTATTTCTGCACTTAGTTCCTTAAGTACACGTGGATGGATACCGTCAGGCCCTGGAGCTTTGTTTATATTAACTTTCTTTAGTTGCTGCAGCACCTTGTCTTGAGTTAACCAATTACAAATATTCTGCAAGTTTTTAGTAGCAATCATTTGCACATCTATTGCCATGGGTTCTTCCTTAATATATACGGAGGAGAAATAGTTATTTAAAATTCCTGCCTTTTCCTGGTCTTCATTAATTAACACCCCCGTTTCAGTTTTTAGTGTACCTACACTTTCATTTTGGTTTTTTTTAGAATTTATGTACTTAAAAAATGCTTTGGGGTTGGTTTTGCTCTCTTCAGCTATCATTATTTCATTTTGAAGTTTAGCAAGTCTTATTGCCTTTTTGCACGCATTATTTGCATCCTTATATCTTTTATAAGATGCATCTGATTTGTCTGATTCAAATGCTTTAAATGCCCTTCTCTTAGTTGTAATCTCTTGTTTTACTTCTCTACTAAGCCACATTGGTTTTAATTTGTTTCTTTTATATTTATTTCCCAATGGTACATACTGAGAAATGTACCTTTGTAATATTTGTTGGAAGATGATCCATTTATCCTCAGTGTTCTTTTCACTAAAGAGTTTATGCCAGTCAATATATTGTAAAGCTTCCCTTAACTTATTGAAATTGGCCTTTTTAAAATTATATGTTTTAGTATTCTCCATGTGCTTTTGTTTTTTTGAGTTTATTTCAAAGGACACTATATTGTGATCACTATTTCCCAAGTGCTCACCTACTTGAATGTTGGTCAAAAGAGCAATGTTGTTTGTAACATTTATGATGCCATCTTGACATAATTTACAGGAAAGGTCACAGTAGGATTACTGTTTACATTATTAACCAGGTATTTACAATACCAAGCTTTTAGTCATCGAAAACATATAGCCCATGTTTCATTAATTCCCTATTCTATATGACTGCTAACATCATTCCCTCTCTAATTATACATAGGGTCAGATCAACTAGTTAACAAGTTATAGCTAGATTAAGTTAATTAATGGTCCTGTGAGGTCAACACCCATCCTCATGCAGGGACACTCACCCATCTGCCAAACTCATAGTTAGAGCCTGACAACATCCAGCTTCCAGTCACTTCCACTTATATTGAATCTCTTACAAGTCACAGAGAGCACAACATTCCCATGACATCGATCGGTGGCTCAGTCCCATGGAAAAATCATAAATAGTGTCTCACTCAGCCACTTGGCAAGTTGCAGGGCCTCAACATTTCATGGTTTAGCTAATTCATCGCCACTCGGCTCTACGTAAGACGCCTGTTGAATTAAGATGACACGTTTGACTAGTTTCATTTTATGATTTAATTGTATGATTTAATTTGTTGTAGAATGTCTCACACTTTAGAAGAAGGGAGATGATTTCTCCCTCCTCAGTACACCTGCCAGGCAACCCATCCCAGCCAGACCAAGCACACCGGTTGAAAACCAAGAACTGCCAAGCCAGTTCTATGTGATCCAGGACAGTTCCAAAATTGCAGCAGAATGCAGCAGATGTGTAGGGGTATACCTTTCCCAACTACAGCAAGAAAGGCTGAGCTGTACAGACTTATGGCTGCAAATTACGATATCCCACAGCCAGGAATCAGCACTCAAGGAGGCTTCATAGACAGTTTGGCAAAAACTAAATTAAATCATCAGTCCAATATGTGATCAAAGGTTTTAACCCAGACAGGTCTTTGTCAAGCCCATGGTTAGAGGGTTAAAATCCAATACCTAGAGTTTACTTAATAAACAACAAGTGTACAAAATGTTGTTCAAAAAAAAAATGGTAGTGCAACATGCAAAATCTGTTGACTATACAGTCAGTTCCATAAATATTGGGACATCGACACAATTCTAATAGTTTTGGCTCTATACACCACCACAATGGATTTGAAATGAAATGAGCTAGATGTGCTTTAACTGCAGACTTTCAGCTTTAATTTGAGGGTATTTACATCCAAATCAGGTGAACAGTGTAGGAATTACAACAGTTTGTATATGTGCCTCCCACTTTTCAAGGGACCAAAAGTAATGGGACAATTGGTTGCTCAGCTGTTCCATGGCCAGGTGTGTGTTATTCCCTCATTATCCCATTTACAAGGAGCAGATAAAAGGTCCAGAGTTCATTTCAAGTGTGTTATTTGCATTTGGAATCTGTTGCTGTCAACTCTCAATATGAGATCCAAAGAGCTGTCACTATCAGTGAAGCAAGCCATCATTAGGCTGAAAAAACAAAACAAACCCATCAGAGAGATAGCAAAAACATTAGGTGTGGCCAAATCAACTGTTTGGAACATCCTTGAAAAGAAAGAACGCACCGGTGAGCTCCGCAACACCAAAAGACCCGGAAGACCACTGAAAACAACTGTGGTGGATGACAGAATAATTATTTCCCTGGTGAAGAAAACACCCTTCACAACAGTTGGCTAGATCAAGAACACTCTCCAGGAGATAGGTGTATGTGTGTCAAAGTCAACAATCAAGAGAAGACTTCACCAGAGTGAATACAGAGGGTTCACCACAAGATGTAAACCATTGGTGAGCCTCAAAAACAGGAAGGCCAGATTAGAGTTTGCCAAACAACATCTCAAAAAAGCCTTCACAGTTCTGGAACAACATCCAATGGACAGATGAGACCAAGATCAACTTGTACCAGAGTGATGGGAAGAGAAGAGTATGGAGAAGGAAAGGAACTGCTCATGATCCAAAGCATACCACCTCATCAGTGAAGCATGGTGGTGGTAGTGTCATGGCGTGGGCATGCATGGCTGCCAATGGAACTGGTTCTCTTGTATTTATTGATGATGTGACTGCTGACAAAAGCAGCAGGATGAATTCTGAAGTGTTTGGCAATATTATCTGCTCATATTCAGCCAAATGCTTCAGAACTCATTGGACGGCGCTTCACAGTGCAGATGGACAATGACCCGAAGCATACTGCAAAAGCAACCAAAGAGTTTTTTTAAGGGAAATAAGTGGAATGTTATGCAATGGCCAAGTCAATCACCTGGCCTGAATCCGATTGAGCATGCATTTCACTTGATGAAGACAAAACTGAAGGGAAAATGCCCCAAGAACACGCAGGAACCGAAGACAGTTGCAGTAGAGACCTGGCAGAGCATCACCAGGGATGAAACCCAGCGTCTGGTGATGTCTATGGGTCCAGACTTCAGGCTGTAATTGACTGCAAAGGATTTGCAACCAAGTATTAAAAAGTGAAAGTTTGATTTATGACTGTTAATCTGTCCCATTACTTTTGGTCCCTTAAAAAGTGGGAGGCACATATACAAACTGTTGTAATTCCTACTCCGTTCACCTGATTTGGATGTAAATACCCTCAAATTAAAGCTGAAAGTCTGCAGTTAAAGCACATCTTGTTTGTTTCATTTCAAACCCATTGTGTTGGTGTATAGAGCCAAAAAGATTAGAATTGTGTTCATGTCCCAATATTTATGGACCTGACTGTATATCCCTCACCCTCATGATATCAGTGTCAGTTGCAATGGAACATACAAAAACATCTTTTGAAACAACAGTTTCCCAAGAGACTTTCACAGATTATGTCCTTGGCTCAACAGTCAATATACAATATATGCAATGGAGAGACAACTGTAAATCTACAGAAATAAAAATATAGTGTAATACGCTAAAAATATGTGAACTGAGCTACTATGAATGCATTCACAGAATAGGATGGTTATAAAGCATTTCTGGGTGCCTCCCCCAAAATTAGTAGGGGGTAGGGAGCTAGATAATGTCTTATCCTCCTCAAACTACTTTCTCCAGGACCAAGATCAAGTACATCAAGATTCCAGGTAAGTATTAGGATCAATTTATTAATAATAAACTTCTAATAGATAAGTATTGGGTAAAAGTAAAACAGAAAGGCGCAACACGTTTCTTCCAAAATGTACACTTCCTTAGGAACCAGATAACTAATAAAAACAATCATAAAAATTCCCACTAGAACATAGGGATATTTTGAGGATTTCCCTCCCACCTGAGTCCTCCTTTTATAGGGCTAGTCCCTCAGTCCCATTGGTGCTTTAGTGAGTGTCATCACTATTTCTTTCCCCATTGGCTAACTTCTTTTCAATCCTTTCTCTTGATTTACAATGTGCCTTCTCAAAAGCCAGAGCATATGGCTTTAAGAGACGCTCCGTGCATATGGAATCACGTGAGTCTGTTTGCATTCAACTGGTCCTCCATCTTGCGTTCCTTTTCACACTTCCTTCATGATGCTGATCACATGTGTGTTCCATCTATGATTCTTAATGTGCTCCAATTCATATATCATAATTCTGTCGATCGTTTCCTGCTAGCCACAAATAATATCTATGAATAACACAAGTTGGATTTTGGAGGAGACATCCATAGACGCTTTATAACCATCCTGTTCTGTGAGTGCATTCATAGTAGTTCACAGACTCTTACTGTATTTCACTATATTGTATGTTACTTTCTGTAGATTAACAGCTGTATCTTCATTGCATACATTGTAAACATCTATTGAATACTTGAATCCAATTATTAAACACTTAAAAAACAAAACTGCATTAGTGCCATAAACAAGTATTAACATATCTATTGTATTATATGAAAACATAAATGTAGTATTGATGATTAAATAAACAATAACAGAGCAATATATTATATGGTCCTAATAAAAATTTGAAAAACACTGAGACTTGCTAAAACTAACAGCTTTATTTGAATATGTTTTAGCATATGCAATTTATTTTTTAATCTTCAATATAATTTCAAGAAAACAAATAATATATCGTCACATATGTATGTATTGTTTCAATAGTATTTCATCCCATGAGTAAAATATATATGTTCCAAGTCCAAAAGGTTTTGTTTTTTTAGCAGCATTTGTATGTCTTGTCCTTTTCTAAGCATTTAAACTTGCTGGTACTTTGAGATATAATGCCTAAACTCAAGAAAGTGTTTTTTAAAACAGAGCATTTAAGGTTTTTTTTGTACATATTGTTGAGTGGTGTTTACACAGGGGCACTGTACACGTTATTTTACATAATTATAGTTGAGAGAATCTCATATTCTCTGATTGACTAAGGTTGGTGAGAAAGCATCTCTCATAATTTAAGACATTCCCATTGTGATTTGCCAAAAAATCTGTTATATGACTGACTTCAAAAGTCAGCTGCTGTGAAAAAAACAGGAACATTTTATAACCTAACCAAAGTCAGGGAGGGTGGGAGGGAGGGACAACTGACAGGTAAGATTAGGTTTAGTTAAGATGGCCACTTCACAAAATGGCCGGTATAAATACTCCCATCGTAGCTCCGCCCCACCCAGCTTGCTAGATGTCACTCAACTTCCCTTGGCTGCTATGCCTACCTCCTGGCTCTGTCAAGGCCCACTCCCCTAGCTTCGCTGATCCATGGGCTACAGATAGTATGCCAAATTTCTGGAAAATTTTTCTAAACAGCTTGTTGTGGGTGACATATTGTATTACACAATTTGTTCTACTTCCATAGATATCTTTAATATGCTTAGACTTAAACTTTAAAAGGCCCCTATGATCAATTTTTTTTTATTACCCTATGGTTTTCCTTTTAGTATTTTGGGGGATATCTCTGAGCATTAAATCTTTTTAAGCCTTCTTCCATTTTTGTTTCCTTGTTTACTGTGCTCTTCAAATATTGGAAGGGCCTGCAAGAGGTTATAATGATTGCTCTTTGCTTTTCCATCTTTTTTTGCTATATATATGGCCAGGCACAGAACAGGGATCTCTGGGATAACAGTACAAAATCACAACATTTGATACGCTGATACAGACACAGTGGCCTAATGAGCAATCACGTTGTGACCTCTTTGTTCCAGATTGCAGATGGCTTTTTCTTTGATCAGCTCTTTGGCATGACAACAATGTTTGCCTGCACTGTGGGCACCTGCCAACCTCATAATTAGATGCAGGGGCAGGGTAGCAGACTCCACCATGAATTAAGCCACAGTACATGTGTAATTCATGGGGAGCTGTGTGTATGGAAATGTGTGCAAAGAAGTGTGTAGCTGTGAATTTGTTTGCCATTGAGTATAGAACTGTGTGTGCATGGCATCTGGTTGTACACATTTGCAGCCCCTATGAGAGAAGAGACCTTGTCCCTTGGTCCCTTGGTAAGTTGATATTCAGACCCCTGTATTAAAACAGTAGCTCACTCTGTGCATTTTGTGACCTGTCTCTGCTATAAAATGGCTGACACCAATGAAGTAGTCCTAAATTCTGGATGATTAAAATGAGCCTCTTTTGAGATGTTTTTCTTTAGAAAATTATCATATAAGAAAAAAATACTTTTTTTTTTAATTTTCCCAATTTCTTTTTTTCATTCTAATTGCTGTATGATGTACATATGACAAAGAAAATAAGCTCTATGTGCTCTTTAAAAAACAGCAACATGTAATATGCAATGATGCATTTAACTAGAAATTGAGGAATTACAGTGGAACAAGTGCCAAAAATACTAAAATTGCTTCAGTCTTTAATGCACAGGAGACCATAACATGTACTATGTTCTACCTTAAGTGGCAATCTGAGCATAATAATTGCTTTGTTACTAGCAGTACAGAAATGAATCCTCAGTTGTAGTAATGAAATGATTTTAAAAAAAATCAAAGAAATAAAGTGCTTGTTACACTCCAAATTAGCACCTAGTTTAATAACTTTTAAAAACTTAAAAAATAATAGCTGTTAGTCACCTGCCATTATTGCAAATTTCTGTCTTCCTTGTAAATGTGCCGTGAAGAAGAATACAAGGTGTAAACAAGCTAAATACATAGTCGTGTCTTGGGACTACATTGTATTATACATGTGTTGTAAACACACTGTGGGCCAGTTACTCGTGATCTGCTCGCCTCTTAAAAATAAAATGAGAAATTAACCCCTTAAGGAGCCAGTTGTACAAGTTGTGATCAAAACAAAACATAAACAAAACCTGGCATCTGCGCTTTATGTCTGTCCAACCGTAATTCACCTCATTCATATTAAATGCACCCACACCTATTATATATAATTTTGTTCAGGAGAAACAGGATCTTCATGTCACATTAATATTTATATATTAAACATTATTTAATATAAATAAAATGTAAAAAAAAATGTTATAAATTAAGATTTTTTTATTTCTTTAGTACTGCAAGGCAGTGAATGCCATAATACTGTTAGCTGTTAGTGCAATAAAGTGCTCATATTTATATTCAGTGAAGTCTCGCGAGTAAAATAGTAACCCCCAAGTACAAGTTTTATAGTGTTTTGGAAAGGTACAGAATCAAATCTATCACATTACATTTTTTAGTTTATACACATTGAAATTTGCCAGACTGGCTATGTTGCCTTTGAGACCGTATGGTAGCCCAGGAATGAAAATTACCCCAATGGTAGTATTCCATTTGCAAAAGTAGACAACCCAATGTATTATAAATGGGGTATATCCAGTATTTTTCAGTAGCCACTTAGTCACAAACACTGGCCAAAGTTAACATTCTAATTTCTATGTGTGTGAAAAATGTAAAAAACTGATTTGAATGATAATTTTGGCCAGTGTTTGTGACTAAGTGGCTCATTCCTGGGCCACCATACGGTCTCAAAGGCAACATAACCAATCTGGTGAATTTTAATGTAAAAAAAATGGAAATACAAGTCTTATATTACACTCTATAAC